AGAAAATTATTGGTGGTCTAGAGTACGCTAAATATATTACTATGAAGAGGCTCTCATGGATAAGAATTATACAATCGTAAGCCATGTTAGAAGAGACGGGTAGATCGAAACTAACATTGACTATTGTGCTTGCGAAGGATCTAGTTGCTTTGGACGTATAGCAATGAACTCGTGAAGTGATGAAAAAGGATTATCTAGCTGAACCAAACATGTTGGGATTAAAGGCTTAATTGGTTGTTGCATAATGGGATTCAAGTATATTCATTTCGTGTTGATCTCATTTATAAAAGAATATTGTTACTTTAAATATGACACACTGAGTTTTTGGCTTTGAATCCTGAAAGTTCAAAAATGAGTTCTTTTATATTGAACAAACTTTCCTGTGCCAAGATCACAATCCAAAATTTGAGTTTATGCATTCATTGTTTTCTCTTAATTCTTTAATCTTGAGAATTTTTATTTTGTTGCTCGTTTGCTCACAAGTCATATTTGCTTGTTTCCTCCGTTGAACCTGCTAAAAAGGATCGAGAAGAAAAACAACTTATCGTCAAACATTGAGCACATACCCTTTGTTGCAGGTGTCTTCTTCAGTTACATCATAGTTTCAGCCGTAGGTACCATGAAGACTTGGCAAGCTGCATTGGTATGTAATGTACTGGATTTTGTTGAACAAAATGTGTTTTGGGGATAGATGATGTCATTTTTGGTAAAATTTTATGAAATGTAATGAATTATTGCTCTGAATCAGTAAAGTATTATCGCTTTAAAGATTTTTAAGTTCTAAAAAAAAAAAAAAAAATTCAAATGCGCAAAATTTTTATTAACCTATGATCACAGATGATAAAATTCAAGGAAAGGTTGGTTTGACTTAAATTTTGTAGTAGTGATTTCTTTTTTAAAGAATGCGTGGTAAAAAATTAGGAAAATTTTTGAATTTACGTGTAAAATTATTTTATTGGAAAAAATAGATGGTTAAAAATTTAGTTTGAAGAAAAATGAGTTTTTTTAACAATTGGGCTTAACCCGGTGTAAATCACATGGGAAAGAATTGCTAAAGAAGCTTGTGTGGCTGCTCAGTTCTTGTAGCCTTTGTAACAGTCAAACAAAGAT